CTGCATAGTGGGAGGAAGTGGGAAAAGATGCAGCCCACACGTCAGAAGAGACAGCGTAGATATTGAAAACATTTTTTAAAAGTGTGCCCTCATAGAACTCCATGTTTTTGATCGTGGAATAAAACAGTGCATTTCAATCAATCACTCAGCAAGGTTAAAGCTATCAATAATAAATGCTGTGTGCTTTAGTCGCCTGTCTACACACAGCATGTTGAAACTTAGTGTGTTACCACAGTTATTTGCCTTTTTCCATGCCCATTTGGTACCTAGTTGTGAAAGAAAAGCTACAAAACTACAAAAATAAGTCTCTCATGCAATTCATAACTGTGGCAGAAAGCGAAGGCAGGATAAAAGCTGTTACTGAGCAGTTCCACCCTTCCAGATGTTAATACTGAATTTCCAGATGTTTTCCTTGCATCTATTGCTTCATTATAATATGGAAAGGAACTGTCTTCAAAAACAGAAAGACTCCTTTAAATCAAAACAGTTTAGACAAAAAGAACCTTCACTTTTTTTTTTTTTTTTTTTTTAATTTGTGCGTACATTATTTTTCAGAATCTTACAAACTAAACCTTATTCCTACAAACAAAGTGGATGGTCTTACAGGCTGGGAAGGCCTAAGTGACTTCTTAGCTCCCAGGAACATAAAGGGCAAGCAATGAGGAGTGCATTGTTTGCTCTCCCTCTGTCCTGGAGGGTAACTGTGGTGCTCAGCTCAACAGACAGCCTGGTCTGGGCCAAACTCACCCAAAACAGAAGGCTAATTGGCAGGACCTATTGTAGGAAGAGCTGTTGCTATTGTTATTTTAAATTTAGTTATAAAACCTCAGTATCATAATCTCAGATACAGCAGTGTTCCACCCTGTATCAGGAAGACCTGTTGACTAATTACCGTGAAAGGACTAACAAAACTACCCCACATTTTAATCATTCTGCTGGGGAACCACACACCAGGTTCATTTTTTTGCCTTTATTGTCTCTTGTATCATAATGGTGGCAAAAGAAGGTTTTCAGACAAAGAACTACATTCTAGACAGGGAATACTGTCCAAAAATGTGTACAGAGGTTTAGGGAAAAGTTATCCACATTATGAAAACAGGAGCTGATAAGCAAGGCAGTCTACAATGCATGTATATAAGAAGGCCTAAAAACACCTAGCCTTACAGGACTTGTTTCATTTCATGGAAACCTAAAGCAGAGCTAGTTTTTCAGGCCTGAGCTCTGAAATATATATACATACATATATATATATACATATATTTAAATTATTATTCCTTTTTTATTTTTCCCCTTTTGGTGTTTCCCTCATTTCTTAAAAGAGCAGTTAGACATTGTCACCCTTTTTTGGATCAAATCTGCAAATCAGGCCCCACCAAGTGCTTTCACATTCCAACTACGACTTCTACAAGGAACAGCAGTTTAGCTTTGTCCTTAAAAACAAGATACAAAAATGGGGAGGATAGAAGGGAAGAAAGATACCAGCTTTCAGCTGTTGCATCCGCTAGGTTTCTGCCTGTTCCTTTGACTGCTCATTTAAACCTAACACATGTTCGTGGTGAAATGCAAAGTGTCATTGGGTTGCAAGCCAAACCAGACCCGATTTTATGGCCGTGTGCGGTATACAGATCAGCCCTGCCTTAGCCCCAGTGCACGGGAAAAGGCATGCTCTGGAGAAGGAGCTTTATGTTCCCTGCTACATTTGAAAGATTTCAAAAGCTGCCTTGTTAGAAGAAGGAAAAAAAAAAAGGGGCTCAACTATGAAATCACTTCCTTCTGTTTAAAATATTTCACTCAAGGGAAAAAAAAAAAAAAAAGCCCAAAACAAAAGGGCACAAAAAGAAAAAAAAAAAAATCTGTTCTTTGTCTCTGACATGCTCCCAGGACTCGGCACCCCGGCTCTGCAGGATGACGCCGGGTGCCAGACCCCGACCTCTCCCGCTGCACAATCGCCTGCTTGTGCAAGGCGGCTGGCGGCCGTCCTGCTCACCGGCAGCCCCAGAGCATCGCACTTGGTCCTGACCGAAATTGGGGTCCCAGCCAGGCCCGAGGACCGGGGTTGTCAGGCAGCTCCTATGCTGACTCCTTCCCACAAAAGGAAGCGTGATAGAGAGAGGGGAAGAGGTGACCTGCTCACACAGAAAAAGCCACACAGCATGAGATACACATTCAGCCATTCCAGGCAGTCCAGGAGAGCCACCTGTTCTGCCTTTCCCAAAGCAGAAACAGACAAACTCTTCCCCTTCAGCACTGTGAATCAGCTAGCTTTGGGAGGAGCCACTTGGGAGGTAGGATGCTGTGAAATTAAATCTGCTGCTTGAGAAAATTTTAAACCAGACTTGCAAGTGGACTTCAAGCAGTGCAAGAGCACCAAGACACCCAGAGGAGTGGGTCTCTCCAAGTTCTTTCCTCCAAACTCAAACATCCCCTGCCTAATCAGCGCTTCCAAATGATGCTCAACTTTCATTTCAGAACCAGAACAATCCTCCACTGGAAGTGATAACTCAGTGATATGGGGCAGCTCTCATCAGCTGGTGGCAACTAACAAGCTTTTCTCATGGTTCAGCTAGCAATCTGCTTAACACTCCAATGTACAAACAATTAACCTCCCCAAATTCTCTGTTTTTGCCCCCACACCTGATTCCTGGCTTCAGGCTGTTCTTCCTCATTTCTACACTGCTGCTTCCTGGCCTTCTTTACCTTCCAGCTGCATCTCACAGATGACAGTGAGGTGAAAGCACTGCTGCTACTTTACTCAGTAGCCCTACAACCGAACTCTTCCAGCCAAACTGCCTGGAAGTTGCTTTGTCTTCCTCAAAGAGATTCAACAAAGACCACGCTGTCTCACACTAAAAATGGTGGGTTTTGCAGACTAGAGGAGGTGCTAAGGCAAAGTGTGTGCACAACACTGAATGAATTTAGCTGTATCAGTGACAAGAAACAAGGTCCTGTTAGGATTTTGTGGAAAACTTAGTATGTGCTACCTGCAGTACCGACAAAATTTCCTCCAAATACTCTAAATGAAGAATCAGAGATACTACTGACCTACATCAGCAGTTAAACTGTAGTCACCTTCAGTTTGGCTAATGCTATTTAACCATTGGAGTTGTTCCACAGTTTTGAGAACAGTAAATACTGTGAAAAATAGAGGCTCTTATTAGAAAAAATGGGGGCTACTCTAGGTTCTTTGTACACCTCTTCCATTGTGGCACTGGGTGGCCAACACATCTTCAGTGTGATCTCTGCTCTTACCCATAGGAGAATGGAGGAGGGTACAGTCAGTAGCAACACTTCCAGCTATCCTCATGCATGCATGGTATTAACTACCACTTGCAATTTATTCAATGACTTATATATTCCTACAGTTCTGCGTTTTACTGTTATCAGTGCTTTCTATTCCCTATTCACTTTTTTTTTTTTTTTTTTTTTTTTAAGCCTGAACCAGTCCTTCTCCTTCAAAATACTTCACTGTTATATGAAAAGTAATTTACTCAGAAGAGGAAACAAAGATCTATTAAAAAAAAAAAAAAGTCTTCAAAGTCCAAGTTTTCTTTGTTTCCTTCACCTCATCTTGCCTTCTGCAAGGAGGGAGGTATGGAGAGACAGATTTCTGAAGCACCAGGCAGTCAGAAGAGGTTTAACCCAACACTACAGCCTCCCATGCAAAACTCTGAAAGATCCTCTTTCCCTGAAGAGAAAAGCAGGACACTTAGGAATACAGCTTTCCAATGGATGGACAGGGTAGTCCTACGCAGTTCATATTCTGGTTAAAAAGCAAACTGCTAGGTCAGAAAACAGCATGCACATTCTTAAACTAAAACACGAGTTGTCATAGTGACTCACAACAAAGCTCTATAACCATCTTCCTTGTCTGTACAGGCAGTAACTGCTAGAAAGCAAAGATCACAGTGTAAAACCACAGATATTAGAACTTCAGAGCAAGAACCTTGATTAAGTTTTGGTCTTTGCAGGCTGGGTACTGTGGCGTTTATGGATGACTAAGGCAACTTCCCCATGCAAAAGGGAGCTATCATCCCAAGAGACTCATGTACCATGCTGTACAGTCTCTTGAGTAGGTTCACAGCTGGGGTTGAGGAAGCAACCAGCACCCTCCTTGCCTGCCCGCAGCTCACCAACATCTCCTGCTACAAAGGGAAGAAGAAACTGCAAGGAAAATCACCAGAGCATGGTACCCAGTATAGTCAACATGTCCTTTCATATAAGAAAGCTGAGAGCCCAAGATCAAAATCAAATACACCCATCCACGGAAAGACAGAAAAACATCCAACCCCAAAGTGTGCCATAATATTCACCTGATGTTTCCTCATTTTCCAAGCCCTGAACCTCAAGGACCTCCCAAGTGTTGTGCTGAAACACACCAATACCTCACGTTGTATCTTCCTGCGTAAATGAACTGGCAGTTGCTTAGATACCCTTATAGCAGAGACCTGAGCATACTGTGCTCGTAGTCCTGCTTAACATGTAAAATCCTTTCACTGATAGTCTTTAGCTCCTCTTTGTTCTCCAGACACAAAGAACTGCCTGGATATGCACGCTGCTTTTTGAGTAGCAGAAGGAAACAACAGGTACTTCAGTGGATAGTGCAGCTTCTCCTGTAATATTTTTTAAGACTGCAGCCATTTGGCATATTCCAGAGCAAAAGGGTGAACACTGCCCAGGATGGGCTGCTGCTATAGGTTTCAAACCTGCATTGCTGCAAACAAACACACAAACAACAAAACCAACAACCCTTACATCTCCAGGTCCTGTTTTTTTCATCAGTTTCATGTCACAGGGCTGAATGACCAAGTCTCTGATATGCACTTCAATAAATAAGCTTGATAATCCCAACACAGTAATGAATACTGGGGCTTCTAATTACCCCTGCCTCTTCTACCACCCTTCAAATGCTGCTGACCTCCCAGAAGTTGGACATGCATTACAGCAATCACCTGGTAAGAAACAGAGAGGGGAACGCAGGGGGGGATGAAGTAAACACTTACCAAGCACAATGACCACAGTCTTCAGGAGGCTCATCATCGTGTCCCGATTCCTGCGGGGTCCAGAACTGTGTCTGGACATTCTCATAGTCCTTTGGCGGACATACCCAAAGATATGAGCGTATAGGACCACCATGACCACGAAAGTGACCAAGTTGAAAATAGCCCAGAAGACCAGGTAGGAGTCACTATAGAGCGGTGCCATGTTGGAGCAGTGAGTGATATCACAAATACAGTTCCATCCGACACTTGGTATGGCGCCCATTACGATGGCCATAGTCCAGATAACAACAATTACCACCACCACTCGCCGGTTGCTCATCCGAGTATGTAGCTGCATGCGAAAGACTGTAATGTGCCGCTCGATAGCGATGGCCAACAGATTGGCTACCGAAGCCGTCAGGCTAGTGTCAATGAGACCCTGACGGAGAAGCCAGGTGCTTACAGTCAATCTTCTAGTGTTGGGTCCTGTGTTAAACATTAAGTAAAAGTAGGCCAGCCCTGCAAAAAAGTCCGCAGCAGCTAAGTTGGCCATTAAGTAATAAATAGGAAAGTGGAATCGGCGGTTGACATAAATAGCCACCATAACCAAGAGGTTGGCCAGCATGATGAAGATGCAGACGGTAATCCCCAAGCCCATTACGAGCTTGCTGACAGTGTTCCATTCAGTGGCTAGATATTTTCCACTCCGGTTGTAAAAGAAGGCAATGGTTTCATTGTAGTAGCACTGTGGTTCACTCATGGCTGTGGACTGAAAGAAGGGGGGGGGGGGGGAGAGAGAGAGAGAGAGAAAAAGAACGACATCAGAACTTAAAAACATATGATTGCCTGCACAGACAAGGCATGCACAGAGAGCTGGGAGAGGCACTGGAGGCAGGAAGGGAACACGCTTCAGAACAAATTTATTTTTTCAGAACAAATAGCATTCCACAACTCACAAACAATTGCTCTGAGGAGTCCAGTAACTGCAACCAGATTAGAAACCACCAGAAATACTTCCATCTGCTCTGGGAACTAGCATGACTTCTGACATCATTGTAAATTACATAGTAAATATTAAGAGCTTCTGGCCAAGCAGACCTGCTGAAAAAACTCACTCATGGAGAAGGGCATGCAATTCATAATTAAAAAAGTTAACTCTGTTATACAATACCTTATTTATGTTATCAATGCATAAAACATTGTTTGTCTGTAGACGTGTTAAAAGACAAGCTCCTCAAAAAGCATGAAAAATTATTGCTGTTTTCAGGAGGTTTTCATTCATTTAGGTCTCTGTCAGGGACATTTCTTGTTGTGCTGTCTTAAAAATGGGGAAGAACCACCCTAAATTAAAATCATCAGTGTGTACTAACAATGTAAATTCCCTGGGCCAGTGATCCTATCTGTCCATAAAGCATGAAGTGCATTTATAAGTGATAAAGGAAGCCACTGTATTTCTATGAGCATCCTTCTTTTACTATCAACCATGTTGCTGAACTGGGTTATAAATGTGCTATGCCTTTAAATATAACTCACCTAAACTTGCTTATTTCAGTTAGAAAAAGAAAGAGCGAAGCAGGGAAAGAAAAAAAAGCAATATTTGTCTTAACGCATGTTAAAAGCAGCAAACTTTATTTCTTGCATTAAATATTGTTATGGCTATGTCAAGAAATACATGATTAATTTTCCTGCCAGAGTACCCAGCTGAGCACAGCTATGGGTGCAGCAAGCAAGCCCTGTACCCCACCAGAATGTAACAGCTTTGTGTAAAAACACTGGCCAACAAGAAAATGCTTAATAAGTTTCCTTCCTAAGTTATAATCAATTACTGAAGGTGTAATTCCCAAAAGGCAAGCCTCAGAAAATAAAACTCTTTTGAGCAGCATACTGGTTCCTTGTTTAGCATGGCTTATCGTAAAGGACTTAAAAAAAAATAATAATAAAAAGAAAACCAACAAGAAGTTCATGTCAGAAAAGTCTCTGTTTGAAGAGGCTCAGGAGACCTGTCTAGTTTTATGGCTGTGAAACTCTGACTGATTTTTTTTTTTTTCCCTTAAACACAGAAAGAGAAGCAGTTTTAGCAAGAAAGCAGGTAATAATCTGGAATGAGGAACAGATCAACAATATTAAAATATAAGAATTTCTTCCCATTTAAACATGCAAACCAAAAAAAAAAAAACAACATGTTTTGGACAGCTCCAGCCATTCTCAGGAAATGCTACAGCTAACATAACCTTCACTTTGAAACCAAAAATGTACACAACTAGGAAACAGAAATAGTAATTGGACACAAGTTAAAATAGTATCTGATAAAGATTGCCTTAGAATTACTACTCAGAGCTATTTGTTTGTTTTAATTTGCATGTCTTTGTCGTCACAACTAGCCTAGTTCCAATAAAGCAATGTGCAAAACTTCCCACCTGTATCCCAAATCTGCCACATGATAGATAGATTTGTGTTAAAGAAAAAAGGGTTTTCTAAAAATTATTTTACCTCCAACCTAAACATTGATCAGAAACATTTGCAGACCCAGGATAATAAAAAGCCAGAGTAAATACTATTTCTCAGCATACTTACTATAAAACTTTTATTGTTCCTCTAGGATACATCAACTCTAGGTTAGAAACCTTTCAGTCTTAATTATTTAAGAATTTAAAGAAGTTCTTATGTACAATCTTTCCACTGCCCAGAAAAACTGATTTACAAGGGATACTTAACAAAGGGAGACCTAGCTACAAGGCATCTGGCTTTAATTCTTTGCTTAAATATTGTGTGGTAATAACAGGTCAACTATAAGAAGCCTTGAGGGAGGGAGGAAGTCATAGAAATGAATTAGTGGACCTTATAAAAGCTTGCCAACATCTGCATTAATTATGTGAATGCCCTGTTTTTTGCCCTCTATAGGAATATCTGGACACCGTCTCAGTTACACAGGAGGTCAGGACTCCAAAATCTAGTTTGTGATCCTGAATAAATTCTGTCTTTTCCGATGTATTCACTGATCTAAATGTTTCTTGTAGATGACTGCTGCCCATACTTAACAACTTTTGCTCCCCTGTTGTTCCTGCAGTGAGACACAAACTACACATGGCAGAACATATATTTTAATTTCAGAAATAGAAAATGTGGTAGATGTTGCTTTCCTTCTTCCCGTGTGTTGACTTTGTTTTGCATTTGGGGTTAGAACATGAAATATCCCTCTCGTTAAGTAATATTCTCCCCACGCTCCTCATACGAAACCTGAGACAAGGTAGGATAACACAAGGCTCATTGTAATATGCACAAAGTGCATTGCATTTGTCTCATTCACAAAGTGACAAGCCAGGGCTGAATGTGTGCAACGCACATAAGAATATGCTAAGTGCTACAGAGCCAGACTTGTTAGGTTTGAAAACAGAGCAGCACCTGAATAATCCCAGATGAACAGAATGAGGCTCGCTAGTTTCTTTCCTTTTGAATACAGAACAAAAGACTCTGGTCATGTAAAGGATTTTGAGAGAAGTTTTGTGCTCAGGGCATGCTAATCCGAAACCTGGAATCCTCCTTTAACAGCAATCTTTTCATTCCTAGGGGAATGAAGAGTTTTCCAGGGCCTCGGTCATGCAGGTGTTTGCTCTTGAGACTTAAATTGGGAACTGATTCGTGTTCATCACTGGAGTTTTCAGACACCACAATAAATGGGCCCATTAGTGACAGTAATAAGGAACAGGTCACTAACAAAAGTTCAAATAGGGGACTTCCAGATGATGGACTTTCTCGGATGCCAGCAGATATCCACAGGAAGATTTTGACCTCACGGGTCACAAACATACAGAGATCCCAAGGCACCACATTTACCCATGACACTTTTGTCTGGCTGCAAAGGCTTTAGCAAGAGGGAAATAAAATGTACCTCCGAGAACTGAAAGTGTTAACATACCATAATGACACACACAAGTAGGCAGACCCAGCCCCTCCCCTGCCCCTGCAGGAAAAGGGGCAGGGAAGTTTACATTTTAATTTCCTGAAGTTTCACTCAGTGTGTTTCATTGCATGGGTGAGCCAGATGTGCAGTGCCCTGAGATTTACCTCATCCGTTTTGTGTATCTCAACAGAAGTTTAAAACAAACTGAGCCACAAATTACCCATGCTAACTAAATCTTCAGAACACATCTGCACAGAAAAAAAAACCATTTGAATTACAAACCAACAAGACAGATAAAGGAAAATGGAATAATAACAGGCTGAAATCAAAGCCTCCTCTAACCACGTGAGGTTGATTTAATACCCAAGCCAAAGAACAAGAAAATCCTGAGTATATGGGGTTAAAATCCTCAAAAAATTGAGACCTAGGCACAACCCCAACCCAGTGCACACAGACTGGAAAATGCGGCACCAGGACTTCATAAAGAAAACTCACTCTGGTTTTACAGCCAACACCTTTTCATCCTGCAGTGAGAATGGCACCTTGGCATTGGCCTCTCCAGCCACGCTCTGCTACACGTGTCCCCTCATCTCCTCTTCTGTGGTGGTATAGGACCATGCCACTGGGGTGGCAATGGGGAGGCTGGGACGAAGAGCAACTTTCTCTCCAGTGATTAGTGTTTGATGTATCCTGCTGCTGCCCCAGCCCCTCCAGCACGGCTGAAAGAGTGGGGTGAGGAATTGGGCCAAGGCATGGAGAGGTCTTGCCCATGGGGTTATTCTTGGGTGAGCTGCTCATTACTGCCTTCTCCTCTTAGGAAAAGGACTGGTGAGGAGAAGGCAGTGGGTGCCTGGAGCAGTAAGGTACGAGGGGAGCTCAGGATCCTACCACCTCGGTGCATGAATGGCAAATGATCGGTATATAAACCCCACTGCAATCTGAGAATTTGCAGAATTCCTTAGATCACCTAGCCTCCCACCTCCCCCCAAAAAACACAACAAAAGACCCCCCACCAAGACATGTGTGCATTTATTCCTTGCTGGGAGAAATAGAGATGAACAGTCTTAGCATACTAAGGTCTGACTTTTACAGAGCCTTTAAAAATTGGAAGCCACAAAAATGTTTCCATATCCAAGAAAATGTTTTAAAAGTATTTTAACCCTAGGCCCTCCAAACACAGTCTGTTTCTCTCCTTTTCTCCTTTACTGAATTAACCTTGACATGCTGCTGTTTTCTTACCCAGAACACGAAGAGGAGATGAAAATCCATTTATTTGGCAAGGAAGCCTGGGAAAGATGACAACTCTGCATGCAACAAAATGCCAAGTAGAAGCCAGAGACCTCAAATTTACAGAAGTCATTCAACTTGCATGCAGTCTCCTTGAAGTTTGCGAGACTCAGAGGAGACTCATCCTATACAGGATGAGATTTTAATTCTTAGGTAGCTACCCTTGGATCCCAAAAATAATATTTATCATTCTCAGTGCTATCCGGAAGTCCAGAAAATATTTTAGAGTTAAGGCAGAATTGGAAACAGTAGGTTAGGACTCCAAAACTGCAATAGGTGGCTTACAGCTCTACATTTAGTACAGCAGTGAATGGAAAAGCAATAGCACTGCTTTGAATTTAGCTAAATACTCTGAAATTTACCAACATACCAGGAAGGCTAGAGCTGAAAAACTTGGGGAAACTGCCAATTTCAAAATCCTCAAAAAGGGTATCAATTAAGAATATCTTTAAAATAAGCATAAGAGAGTAAGTATAGGAATAATTGATTCAATATGTAAATAATTTCTCAAGCCGCAATTGCAAAATCATGGTCTTTATAGAAGTAAAGTTGTAACAGATGAGAAAAAAAAAAAAAATCCA